ACACACAAGTAAGAGACTTATAATGCTTAAGCACACAACAAGAGACTTCAGATACTCAAACATTAATAAAGATACTTAAAATGCTCAAACACTTAAAAAGAGACTTAAAATGCTCAAACACACAAGCAAGAGACTACAATCTAACTTACAAAGAAAAGATTGTTTATTTCTTACACTTGATATACAATCAGAGGTGTAAACAAATATAACACAAAAAGACTCTTTAAGACTTAAGAATTTCTAAAATATACAAGTGTTAAGAAGTTCTAAGTTAAACTTGTGTTTTTTGTTTGATAGGGTAACAATTATTTTATTATCAATAACTCATTGTATTTTCTTCAAGTCTTCAGCTCCTTATATAAAGAAAAAAAAGAGTCGTTGAAGAGTTTGCATAAGAGAATCCTTGAGAAACTTGATTTAGAGACGTTGAGATATTTCTTGATATAGTTAATACCATTGAAAGTTAATTTGAAATCTCTTTGCTATAAAAAGAATTATATGTTGCATCCCAATTGTCTTCTACAAAATTTTGCTTAAGTCTTCATGTGATTAAAAAAAGATAAAATGTCCTCAGAGTCTGATAGTGACCTATCAAAATCTCCTCGGTCCTTGCATTGACCGGATCTCCAGAGTATGAATTTTTAGAGTCTGGATCTTCAGAGGTTGACTTTATTTAGAGTCTGAGCCTTTTAAAATATGGATCTTTAGCTTATGTTTAAATGTCCATTCTCAATACCAGTACTAAATTTTTTCATAAATTTTAGTTTATAATCCTGCACACTTGAACATTTGTTAGTATACCTTATTGTTCTTTAAATATTTTGTTATCATCAAAACCTTAGAGATATGATACAAACCAATTTTGTTCCAACAATTTGGATAAGTAGGCCTCGTGTTATTAGTATTTTGGTTTGCATGGAGTAATGTGCCTTGGGCCTTTGCCAACACGAAATACCAAATATTTTTCTTATTAAGACCTTTTTTATTTTTTCCAAAGACAATATTAATGTGTTCTTGTCATTTATAAACTTCATCCCCAGTCAAAGGCTTATGAGCGATATCAAACTCATGCTCTCCATTAAAAGCCTTCTGCAATTTACAATACAAATGATTGGGGTTTGGAAATTATTGATACCCAAGGTAAACAATCTTTTTTCCAAATTGAAGTTGTTGGAAGCACATATTATATTCACATATAGGACACACTTTATGTTCCTTAACACTGTATCCAACCAAATTACAATATGCAGGAAAGTCGTTGATTATACAAAATGATATGCATCTGAATACGCATTGTCGCGACTGGAAAATCACAGAGTCGCCATCATCCTTTGCTCGTTCCTAAGGAGCATGAAAACAATGATAAAATTTAAAAATTAAGGGTGAGAGAATAGGTTCGAGAATCGGTTAAGCAACGAGAAGGTACTAGACACCCCTCACATCCATTGTATTCAATGTAATCCTCCTCTAATTCTAGGCGACAATGTACATTCCCTGTCCTCTGTGTTTGTACGCTGTCGCCAATTAAATTGACGATTGCTCTTATATGTTTACACATTGTCGCCAATTGAATTGATAACTGCTTTTATGTGTTTGTACACGGTTGTCTGTTGCCAATTGAATTGACGGCTCCTTTTTATTAAATTTTTATTTATTAAAAAATGAATTAGTTTGAAAAATAAATAAAAAAATAGATTAGTTTGAATATTTATTTAAAAAAATTAATTATTTTAATAAATTTTTCTCCCATTTTCTCATCTCTCTTCAACTTCACTCTCTTCTTTCTTCCTCTCCCTCAATTTCTTGTAACAAAAAAAAAAAAACAATCCTCACAAAATTAAGTTTCTACCTCAAATCCAAATTCATCAAGATTTTTTAAACTCAAACGGAAACGACAACAGTTAGGTTGTGCGAGGGTGGTGGTTGCGAGCGGGATCAGAGATGTGTGAGAGAGCGTCGGTCCGGTGCATGAACGGTGGAAGGGTGACGGCGCGACACGCGATTCTCGCTGTGCAGGGGTGGCGGAAACCGACTAGGTGGGTGGGTGGTTGGAGAGTTGCGTCCGACAGTTTGCGACGGAGCTGTCAGATGGCTTTATGATTTCCCATTTTTTATGATCCTTCTACTCTAATTTTATTTTCCTCTCCTTGTTTTTCCATGATTCGAGGTTAATTATTGGTTATGAGCAATTAGGATATTGTTGTTGTTTTTTGTTTCTACAGTTTCTCTGGATAGTTGTTTGTTGGCAAATTCAAGGTTGATTGTAAGGTTAATAGTGGACATGAATGTTTTGCAGGTTGCAGAAATTTTGAATTTGGGTATTGATTTTTTTGTAGAGTTTGTTAATGATTTGTAAAGATGTTTGGATGATGATGGTTCCAGTTACTATTGTTGGAACTGTGATGATGTTGTAAATTTTGGTTTGGATTCAAATGGGTTCGATTTCAAAAAACTATTGGGTATGTAATTAGAGGTTTTGATTTTTGAATGTAATTTAATTAAAGACATACTGTGTGGTGGCTATGTATTTAAAAAAAAAAATTGAATTATAGAGTATGGTTTTAGTTTGAAACAGATTTTGAGGTTTTATTGTTTTTCGAAAGTGACTTCTCCTTTGTTAAATTTATTTTATGTTATTAAAATTTAATAATTAAAAATAAAATACTAAAGAAGAATTAAATGAAGGAAAACAAAAACTTAATTTGTGCATTGAAAGAAATCAAGTAAAATTGTACTAATCAAAATAGGAAAAATAAAAAAATTTGACAACTAGTAAAGAGATTATGCACCCTAGCAACCTTATTCACAATAAATAAAATGATTTTATAAGTGAGAGAATAAATGATGAACCAATTTACGGAGATGAGATGAGATTGTCACTAGTGAAAAAATATAAGATTTTTTTTTATTTCTTTGTGTTTTTCACGTTTTTGATCACGACCTTCGAGTAATTATCCTTCTTTGTTCGCGCCGATTTGAAAAGATCGATAATAATGACGATGACGACTTTTAAGGTTTCAGTGTTATTCTTTTTCAGTGTGAAGAACAATAACTTTTAGGATATGATTTGTTAATTGTGAAAGAATGAAAAATGTAAAATTGAGACATATTTATACTTAAAAAAACTAGATTAGTAAAAAAGGAAAAACATGAATTATGATTAAGACCATTAATCCAATTAAAGCTAGAAAATTGATTGGTTTTAAAAATAAGAAGAGAAAAAGTAATAAAAATGAGAAATGTGTGATTCAAACTCATGACCTTTCCTATTTATAACTCCTTAAACATGTTATTCTATTAATTGTGTCATTTTATTTATTTGAAATATAGTCGCACTAGAAAGCAAATGAAGGGTGGATAAAATTTGGGGTACGACACACATCATCAACATCAACGCCTTCCTTCCATAAAACTCGTAAATCTTCAATTAATAGACTTAAATAAACATCTATGTCATTTCTATGTTGTTTTGGCCTCAAAATCATCATAGATAACAACATATGTTTATGTTTCATGCACAACCAATGAGGTATGTTTTAAATCGTGCACACCTAAGTATAACCACAACCAATGAGGTATGTTTTTAATGTCGTTATTAAAACCTGATGGTGGGATACGATCAATTATTGTGGGTACTATTTAAAAGCAGTTAGTACCCAAGGTTGATACGAAATGGGTTAGTAAAGATATGGCGAGTCCCTTCTAAAGTAAAACATGTTTTAGCGAGTGTCTTTTTTTAGTAAAAGTGTTCAAGACATGAATGTAAAATTTAACATGACCACAAGACGAAAAATAATTTTTGGTTATTTGCAAATCGCATATGCTTAAGACTTTCTCATTGTTATTCCTATTGAGGGGTTAGACCAACATATGTCACTGGTGAAGTATCGTACTATTATAAGATACCGTCTTATGGTTCCCTTATTTTTCATTGATGAGATTTGTCCTATTTGTCACAAGGTATGTTTGAATACATTTGAGGAACATGTGATTTATTATAGTGAACTTCCAAGCTTCAAATACAAACATGACCTTGTTAGGAATGCCTTATTTGATATATTTCGACAGATCGAAGTATCTATGAAAAAAGAAACACCCTTGATTTTTTTTTACTGACCTACATGAAAGAAGATCGATACTTAGGTTATTATATGTTTTGGCGTACATGTGAGTCAGAGGAAAAACATCCATGTATGAAATTGATTGGGATTTATTCACTAGTAGGTCCGAAGAATAAATATTTTACTATGAGACGTGTAACCTTCAAAAACCGCACGTTTGACATATTTTTTATTTTCTAACACCATAAATCTATTATAGAGAATTTAAAAAATTATAATTATCAATTGATATAATATTTAAGATAATTAATAATTACAGAACTTATTAATACTCGTTTACCTTCTATTTCTACCTAAAAACCTTTTGTTTCTTCATATTACATCAACACTTCGGCATTATAAAAAAAAAATCATGATATCCAATTTTTATAAAAAAATAATTATAAATAAACTAACATCTATATAACTTTATTTAGTTTAATTTATGAATAATCAATAGTCTTAAATAAATTTAAAATTAAGATTTAACTGAAATTCACTAACTGTGTAAAACAATTTTATACAGTCAAACATAAATATTGGAGGTAAAAAAAATTAATTTTTATCTTAATAATTTTTAAAATAATACAAATGAATGATAAAAAAAATCAATTAATAATATAAAATATTTTACACAATGAATCTAATAGGAAATTAAATGTATGCACCTTCATTTGATTAAAAAAAAAACAATTCATTGCCACCAAAAAAAAACAACATATATAAATCCTTGTCTCGGATCCAATTAAATTAAAATATAACCATAAATCGAAAGGAAAAAATAATTACTATTATTCAATAACGACGCAGCTTCATCCACCAGCGGCGAAGGGAAAAAAAACTCCGATCGGCTATTCAAACCCCAAACCCTAATCGGAGCAATTCGAAGAAAGAGGAAAAATGGTTCTCGCACAATTAGGTGGGAGCATTTCGCGTGCTCTTCAGCAGATGAGCAATGCCACAATCATCGATGAAAAAGTTCTCAATGAATGTCTCAATGAAATCACTCGCGCTCTTCTTCAATCCGATGTTCAATTCAAGCTCGTTCGTGATATGCAGACCAATATCAAGAAGATCGTCAATCTCGATGATCTCGCTGCTGGTCATAACAAACGCAGGATTATCCAACAAGTAAAATTTCCCCTCTTTTCTTCTTTTGTCTTTCCATGTGTAATTTTTGGAGGAAATTTTCAATTTGTTCATGAATTTTATTTTATTAATATTTCACAATTTTAGAGACTATTTTGAAGTTTTGCAAATACAGGGGATTAGGTTTATATAGTCATATAACTTAAGAGGCAAAATTGAGTATCCACTCTCTCTTTTTTAAAAATTAGATATTGAAAGTTTTGAACTTTTTGTTTGTTTATAATATGAAGCACACACACTCTTCGAATTAGGCATGTCGGACACTGATAAGTGTTCAACACTCGAATAACACCAGTAAGACACATGTTGGATAACTCAAGGATGATTACTAGTTAGTTGATTAAAGATCTTAAATTTGATTACGTGTCCAACACTTGTATGACACCTGCACGACACATGTTGGATGACTCAAGTATGATTATTAATTAGTTCATCAAAGATTTTAAATTTGATTGCATTATTATTATCTTTTTTCCGGTAGGAGATGGATAGATAGGCGAAGGTGAAATACTAATACATCTTGTTTGATTTATTTTTTTTTGTAAATAAAACTAATTGCTCAATTTAGATGCATATGTAGATTTCATTTTCAATCTAGATATTTTATAAATGATTTACATATTTTATTGATTTTTAACTTATATATGTATTGTTGTTGGTGTCTTGTATATTACCACTTTCGACATGTTAGTGTTCGATGTCCATGTCGTGTTCGTGCTTCATACTATATATGTTTATATATATTGAATTTTAGGATTGAAGTGTGATATGGTATTCTGCATTAGAGTTTATGGTGAAAACTTCTAAATTTTGTTTTCTATGGATGGAATGATCATTTCAGCTTGATTGATTTACTACGTGCTTTGATTAATGAGGCATGGCTTGAGAAGTTTGATTTAAGAGTTATTTTGGATCAAGAGATAAATCAAGTGCTTATTGAATTAATGTTTATCATATAAGCGTGTAAATATCTAAGTTATTTTAATGATCAAAGATGAAATGTGATTTGACTGTTCTTATTAAAGTTGTTAGCTGCATTAATAAGCTGCTGTGGGAGGTTTATTGAAATAAGCTGAAAACAACTAATGCAGACAGTGTAGTCTATTTTCGGGAGCTCCATTGAACACTTACACAAGTGTTTATGTCCTTAAATAAACTGTAAATAATATCTTTCAAACGCATCCTTAGAGTTCGTTTGGATAAACTTTTAACCAAGCATTTAAAAAAAGGTGAAACCATATTGTCATAATTACGAGTCTATTAAGTAATAATGTTTTACATTAGTTTAATTCAGTTATGCTCCCAAGCCTTTTCAAAAGGCCTCATAAAGCTTTAACTTTTCCTTTATTGCCTATAAACTTATAAGCATGCCTTAGTATTTTAGGAAATAAATACATGTCACATTTGAGAAACTCCATAAATTAGAAGATAATTCAATTTTAGTTGTCGTAGTAAAACTTTGAGGTATAGTATAGTATTTACCTCTATTTTGCTTAGGAATGCTTAACGACTTGTTCATGTTATCAATAACACGCTATAGCATTTTAGTGTTGCGGTGGTAGGGTTCGGCGCAACGCTTTTGGCCCGCTATTTGTGGTTCAAACCACTATTGCAACCACTATTAGGGTTTTGGGACGAAATTCCTCACTTTTTTTAAACCTAGGATTAACATGTTTTACTGTACACAATTCAACCTCTAAATTTGGAAGAAGTGGATGTCTAATACTTATAATTGATCTTAGAATTTAGAAGGAGCTTGGATTTTATCGTGACTACTCCTTATGTTAACTCATGTGTAATATTTTATGAATTCATTTGATTCTAGGCTGTGTTCAATGAACTCTGCAATATCTTGGATCCTGGAAAGCCCTCTTTCACTCCCAAAAAAGGAAAAGCTAGTGTTGTCATGTTCGTTGGTTTACAAGGTGTTTTTCAATTAAATAAGTTTTCCTGCTTTTTGCTCATATCATACTTCAATGCTTAATTTATGCAAATGATACTGGGATGTAAATTAATTAACTATCCAAAGCATAGCCAAGATGTATGCATTTGGCAAGCAAGATGTGGCTTTCCTTACAATTATTTTTTGTCCATTTTTTTCCAATTAAAGATGTGTTTGCGAGTACTGATGGATTATATGCTTCTTGAATGAATTTAGGATCTGGGAAAACCACTACTTGTACAAAATATGCATTTTATCATCAAAAGAAAGGCTGGAAGCCGGCTCTAGTATGTGCAGATACATTCAGAGCTGGTGCGTTTGATCAGTTGAAGCAAAATGCTACTAAAGCTAAGATCCCTTTCTATGGAAGGTACTGTTAATTGTTGTTATAGATTAATATTGTATGTAAACTCAAAATCTTCAACGGGTACTTTTTACATTATTCATGACTTGTGGGAAGTGAATTGATGGTGGTAGTTGAATAAACCTTTAGGTTATTTATGTTTTATGTTTACTAGACATGCTTCATACACAGCTTTTGATAACAAATTCAAGGTTGTAGATGTTGATGCGCACAAAGCCAGTTTATTTTTCTATATTGGATTTTGTCATGATAAGGCATATTCTTTAAATAGATTTTGAAACCATGAGACTGATAATATTTCATGAAAACTGGCCGATTCATTTTGGAAAGACAATATGATATGAAGATTTGTTTCTAGAACAATCATGTATAGTTGTTTGAAATTAGATTTGCTTTGTTGTCTAGAAGTTTACACTGGCTCAGAGTTAGGCAATTGCTTTTTAGAAAAAAAATTGACATTTTCGGCTTTCTAGGCAGTAACGACATTTTGTGCTTTATTTGGGTCATAAATCACCAAGGACTGGTGAGATTGGGAATGTCCAATCACCTTTAACAATTGCCAAGTCCAAGGCCTATATTTGGCTCCCCCTCCTACCAAATGTTATGACCTTTTCAATTTCTGACATTCTTTCTTCGGTTGGAAGATAAGCATGTAATAAAACCAAAAATTAAAAGCATTCTTTTTTTATTTATCCCAAGGATCTATTTGGATTTCTCTTATGATTTCCATTTCTCCTCTTTTACTTTAGTTTTGTGGTCAGGGGAGGAACCCATATTCCATCATTACATTGTCCTACAAGTTACAACTCTTTGCTTGTATAAATCACATTTGCTTGAATAATTTGTTTGGTTGCCATGCCCTATTATTACTTTGCAGCTATATGGAGTCAGATCCTGTGAAAATTGCTGTGGAAGGTGTGGAAAGATTCAGGAAAGAAAACTGTGATCTTATAATTGTTGATACTAGTGGGCGTCACAAACAAGAAGCTGCTCTTTTTGAAGAAATGCGCCAAGTTTCAGAAGCAACGGTATTTTCTGTTGATATTGTATGCCAATGTCTGTTTCCAAAAGTCTGTAATCTCTAATATCTTTTATTTGCATTGGTTCAGAAACCAGATCTTGTTATCTTTGTCATGGATAGCAGTATCGGTCAGGCTGCTTTTGATCAGGCTCAAGCATTTAAGCAGAGTGTTGCAGTTGGAGCTGTCATTATCACTAAAATGGATGGCCATGCAAAGGGTGGTGGTGCACTTAGTGCGTAAGTATTACTGGATATGATCATATTATATTAATATGATATACCACCAACTTCTATAAATATGATGCTTGCACGCAATTGTGTTATGATAATCTATTTTTGTTATTGTCTGTCATCATTTGTAAATCTAATAATTAATTATTTATGTTTAGTGTTGCGGCTACAAAGAGTCCTGTCATATTCATTGGAACAGGAGAACACATGGATGAATTTGAAGTTTTTGATGTTAAACCATTTGTCAGTCGTCTATTAGGTATGTACTTTTTAGTTTTCGTCCCGACATGAGTTTTAGGACATGCCTCACTTTTTCCAGCATGTATATGGATGTGTCGGTTCCCTTAATATTAATCTTCAGTCATGTTTTGAACTAGGCATGGGAGATTTGTCAGGGTTCATGGACAAAATCCATGAAGTTGTTCCTATGGATCAACAGCCCGAACTGCTTCAAATGCTGTCAGATGGACACTTTACCTTGAGGATTATGTACGAGCAGTTTCAGAATATTCTTAAAATGGGTCCCATTGGCCAGGTTACCACCCTATTATATTTAAGAATGTACTATGCACATGTTAGTTTACATCTGACCCCCAATTGGTGGTAAAATACTTTGGTCGATGTTGTTTACATTAAATCTCATTTGATGCACTAAACTGGATGGTTCTTGAGTAATGAGGGGCTGCTCTCGGTTTTTCTTTGGGGAGAACTAATTAATGGTCGATTTGATTTATGTAGGTTTTTTCTATGCTGCCTGGATTTAGTTCTGAATTAATGCCAAAAGGCCGCGAGAAAGAAAGCCAGGCAAAAATTAAGCGTTACATGACAATGATGGACTCAATGACAAATAAAGGCAAGCATTAAATTTTTATTTTTTTTTGGAATATTTTTAGGAAGATCAACGTTACGTGCACTAAATGCACGTGCTAACCTTTAATTGCTAACGTGTTTCAGAGTTAGATAGTTCAGACCCAAAGCTCATGAACGAGTCACGGATGATGCGAATAGCTCGAGGTTCTGGTCGGCAAGTTAGGGAAGTAATGGAGATGATGGAAGAGTACAAACGTCTTGCAAAGATATGGAGCAAAATGAAAGGGCTTAAAATACCAAAGAAGGGAGAAATGAGTGCCTTATCCCGAAACATGAATGCCAACCACATGAGCAAAATCCTCCCTCCACAGATGCTAAAACAAATTGGAGGTATGGGTGGGCTACAAAGCTTGATGAAACAGATGGGATCTTCTAAGGACATGATGGGAATGTTTGGCGGTGGCGATAAGTAGATTCTTAATGGCATATGAACTGAGGTTTGTTTCTGATTACTTACTCTTGTGCTTCATAAGAGAGATTCGTCATTGCGTAATTTATGCAGTTTGAATTGGATTCAGATATGCTGTCAACCAATCTGCCGACTGCAGAAACCACAATGGGTGTTTTTTTCCATGTAAAACAATTTCCCCCTACTTCTGTATATTTATTAGTCTCTACGGATACCAGCGAAAACATTTTGGTGTTAATCAGAATTTTTTCTTGATAATTGTAACATTAAAAGTTATATATACCGGACTATTCTGCATGTGCAATTCACTTTAGAGAGTAAAGTGAGTAGCATTAACCTTTGATAAATAAATGGCTGATATTATGTGGAAATGCATAACGAATCAAATCATGCATGGTTATAATATCAACTCGAGTATCTCATTTTGGTAACTATTCACTTCCAGAGATTGTGTTTGTAGTTCACAGGGGATGAAATCGTATTTACTAAACACTGATGTTTATGTTTTCAATTGACTTGCAAATTAAACTTTATAGTTAGCTCTTTTTAAATTAAAACTGCAAATTAAAATTAAGAAATCAAAATTGAATATATTAAATTAATTAGATGTCATTATGTCAAACAGGCTTGCATCGGATTTCAGAATAGTCCTTTAAAAATAGAGGATATTTTAATGTCCTCCATATATTATTTAGGTGAAATGTTCATAGATTTCAAATATGTATCTTCAGACGCACTTTGAAATGTTAAATGATTAGGAGATGCATTTTAGTAATATTTTAAAAGTCATACATCATGCATTAATTCTGAAAGATATTTGACATGTATATTGTATCGGAGATGCATCTTTGTTTATTTTATGGAGATATATCTTCGTAAAATATTAAAACAATATATGTTACATTTTTGTTTTGTTTATTTAGATGAAGATTTCTAAACTTTATGGGCCATGATATGTGGAAATATTTAAATCATACAATTGTTTTGCGAAAAATGATATATATAAATTCAGATGGTTCCAAAATGTCATAAATAAAGTCAAAATGCACGATAAAGTAACATGAGGTGAAAATAAATTACAATCTATAATGAATATAAAGTACAACAACTATATACTATTACACTACTGCGTATGTCGGATTGCATCTCCTTTGTCTCATCGGGTCCATTAGCAATCAATTCCCCCACCCTCCGGCGTTGTCTTTGGTACATCAATACCACTCTTGCAAGCAAGTGACACTACAAGCAAGAAAAAAACATATTGAGAATTTTCAGAGAATGAGAAACTAAACGGTGAAAAATTCAGGAGATGCATCTCTTCTCTGAAATTTTCTATAACTCTTCATGTCCGTCAACGGCGGCAATGCAAATATTCAATTCCCCAAATTTATGGCTTGATCATCATTTTCAAACATACATGTTTTACAGTATGTATAAACTAACAATCTTGCATTCTTTACACATTTCTTACCTAAAACATTATTTTTTACTTATTTACACAAAAACTTATAAAAAATTAAATACTTACAAATTTGGATTTTGTTTCAGTGTTGGGTGATGTCTTTGATGTTGATTGAAAATTATTTGAGCTTGATTGTTTGATTTTGTATTTTATCGGTTGAATTTTTTTTGAAGAATTTGATAAACTTTTGAGTTTTTTTAGAAATGAGAAAGGAGAAGGATTCTGCCGCGATTTAAACTCCAATATTTTTCAGAGATGTATCTTCAAAATACGTTTGAAGATTTATTTCTGAAATATTTTAATATTAAATTAAAATTTGGTGTGTCAAGAGATACGTCTTCAAAATCTAAAAACATTTAAGTATTTTACATAATGCCTGCGTAAAATATACAATACATTAAGAAATCCTCTAACAACCAAACCTAACTTGTTTGCATGGACAATTTTTTTCTTAGTATATTGGATTAATCTATTATTTGTTGGTTTTTATCTTTCAGTATTTATAAATTTAATTGTTTTTTTTTACAAAATAAGTTATAATCAATCATTGTTGTGTAATGTTAACTTTTAGTATATCATATAGTTTATGTCAACCATATTATTTTACTGTATTTTTATTAATATTATAATATCAACAAAATTATTTATAATTGGAATTTGAATATTTAAAAATCAATTAAAAGTTAATTGTATTAGGCATGTTTGTTTTATCTTTAAAAAATAGATTTATTTTTATATTTTTAAATATAATTTTTATAAAAATATTATAAGTTTTTAATTATTTTTTAAATTAAAAGAATTTTTTTTGACATTTTATAAAATAAATATACATCATTGAAAGACTAAAATATTTAAAATTGCAGTTTTAAAAAAAAGTTGTATCTCAAAAATAATTTTTGTGAAAAATATCAAATAGTTTTAAAATTAAATATTTTTTTTTTAAATTTTGATATTTAAAAAATATTTTAAATATCTAAAATAACATTTTAAGAATAACTATTCAAATTAGATATTTACTCACAATTTTTATGAATAATTTTTTTATAATTTTTTTATTATATTTTTTATGTAATACTATATAAAGGGTTAATACTATTTTATCACCTGTCATATAAGCTTGTAATTTTTTTTTGTTGTAAAACTAACTTTGCCATATAAAGATTTTGTTATTTTAGGCGGTATGGTTGTAAAACTAACATTGTCATATAACAATGCCCGGTTGAATTTGTTTTTTTATTTATAACTACTTTAAAATTCATGTCATATAATATTTTAATTTTTAATTATTTGAATATTATTAAATTATTAAGAATGCAAGAATTATGAAAATGACAAAGTAAAATTATTACAGGATTATAGATTAAAATTTCTGAAGAGAACTTAGTACTGGTATTAGGAATGGACATTATTAGAGAAGTTAAAAATGCAGATTCTGGAAGACCATAAGTTAAAGATCTCAATCTCTAAAGAAAGTCAACCTTTGAAGACTTAGACCAGGAAGGATCAATATCTGAAGAGTTTGAATACTTAGACTCTAAAGTTAGTCAACACAAAGATCAATAAAATTCTGATAGGTCACTATCAAACATCGAGGTCAGTCAAGGCAAGGATTGAGGAGACTCTGATAAGTCACTGTCAGACTCCAGGGACATTTTGTCTTCTTCTAATCACGTGAATACTTAAGAAAAAATATGCAGACGACAACCGAGATGCAATGTATAATTCTTTTTGTAGCAAAGGAATTTCAAATAAGCTCTCAATAGTATTAACGATATTAAAAAACATCTCAACATCTTTGAATCAAGTTTCTCAAAGGCTCTTTTAGGAAATCTCTTGTGTGCTTGAGTATTATAAGTCTCTTGTGTGTTTGAGCATTGAAGGTTTCTTGCTTTGTGCTTGAGCAATTGTAATCAATCTTGATTATAGTGAAATCCCTTGGAAGTGCAATGAGATTGAACTACTCTCGATTTGTGGGAGGAATCAGGATAATTGCTAGTATCTCTCTTTCTTTCCTTTGTACATATGAACTATTTTATTCCGTTGCTAAACACTTAACTCTTATTTAGATTCTAGATTTTGTATTTAAAGTTAGATAAGAGATTTTCAGAACAAAAAGAAAAAGCTAACACAACTCAACTCCCCTTCTAGGGTTTTTCTTACCTTCCGTTGGCATCAGAGTGTCTGGTTCGTGCTCTAACACTTAACAATGGTACATAAAAGATTCTGAGAGAAAAATATCATGACTGATGTGTCTTAAACTTTTGGTCCCAGAAACAATGATGTAAATTATGATTATATTGCTTTTGAAAAGAATAACTATACAACTAGACCTCTAACTTTCAACGGAGACTCTAGAAAGTTCAAATAGTGGAAGGGTAAGATGTACACTCACCTCAAAGGTGTTGATGATGAGTTGTGGGACATTCTTGAAGATGAAATTAATATTCCAATTAATAAAATATGAATGATAATTGTCATAAAAAGTCTCACACTTGCTCAAAAGATGACTTATAGAAAATATCACCGAATTATAAACATTTTGGTAGATGCTTTACCTCAATCTGAGTACATCAAAATTATTAACAAATCTACTGCTAAAACCAACTTTGAATTCTTATGTGCTACATATGAAGGAAATCAGCAAGTAAAAGAGGCAAAGGCTAACCTCTTGGTCCAACAATATGAACTGCTATGAATGAAGGAAGATAGCGACATTGAAATTATGTTCTCAAGATTTTAAGTTCTTGTATCTGGATTTAAAGTCAAAGATGTCATATTTTAGGGTGTTACACTAGGCACCCCACATGTATTGATTCAACCTCTAATAAATCCCTTTTTAAGAAGGCTTTTGGCCACTATGTCAGGCTCTTGATAGATACCAACTTACAAAATGAACTCAGAGACAAAATTCTTGTGGAAAGAGTAGGTTATGCCTTCGTGAAAATAGAATATGAGAAAATACCATTGTAATGTCATTATTGCATAACTTTAGGACACTCAAACTTCAATTATTGAAGAAAACTAGGAAAGAAGGACATTAACATTAAAAAAAAATATAGAGAGAACAAAAGTCCCCTTTAAATACAAGAAAAAAGAACAACTCAATGGAGTTTAGAAGCGTGGTAAGAAAAACCAAAAGGACACTAATATGGGAGAAACAAGTGGAATAAACAAAGAGAATGTACCAGATTAATCCAATTGCTCTGATAGTTGTCTTCACAGAAGTAGTTAATGTAGTAAGGGATACAACATTCGAAAGCCCTCAGAACATAACTGGTAGTAAAGAAAACTCAAGAAATCAAGTTACGAAGAATATGACAAAATATGTTATGTCAGTCCTCAGAGACAGTAATACTACTGTTACTGCTCTTGGAGAGATGGCTTTTATGACAGTTAATCATTTCACTAATATATATTTTTGAAGGGAATAACCAAGATACTTTCATATTTGACGAGGTTATACCCACTTTGGTGGATTCAAACATGAATAGAATTTTAACCATACTGGAAGATGAGATCTCTAATGCAGTGCACATTCTTAATAGATCCAATGCTTCAGGTATGGGTTTGGTGAAGTGTTCTATCCCACTTTCTGGGACATTATTGAGGATAATTTTTGTGAAGCACTCGCCCAATTTTTCAACTCAGGATGGATCCTTCCCAACTTCAATGCTAGCATAGTTATCCATTTCCATATGACCAAAGATGATCAAACTACGGAGATGATCATACCAATAGCCCTTTCCAACATCATATGTAACATAATATCTAAAATATTGGCTGATAAGCTTGGTTCTATCATGCCTTTCTAATTTCTAAGCAGCAGAGAAGTTTTATCCATGGCAAGAGCATTAAAGATTGTACTTGCTTAGCTTCAGACGCAATAAATGCGTTGGACAAAAAATGGTTATATGGCTTTTAAGGTGGATATTTCTAAAGCATTTGACACCATTAGTTGGTACTTCCTACCGAAGGTCCCGCACAGGTTTGGTTTCTGCCATCAATTTTATGACAGCCAAAAAGACCTTCTCATATGGAACCAAAATGACTACAGTGTGCTCACTATAAAGGATGCATATAATTTCAAGGCTCGTCATCTCCCCGAACCTGCCTGGGCTGATTCCATAAAGAGTAATGATATTTCTCCAAACAAGTTAATTTTGGTCTGAAGGCGAATGCACGCTAAAATCTCTACTGATGCAATGGTTATGCCTAGATGCATCTCAATAGCCTCAAAGTGTTGCCTCTGTAGCTCTACAGTAGAGACTACATGTTGCTTATTTTTTTCAGTGTAGCTTTGCCAAGGTTTTTTGGACTTGGCTTAGGAGGAATTCCAACATTCAGTCCCACCCTGGATCCTTATAAGACTGGTTCCAAAGAATCTGCCAAGGATCTTTGCAACCGTGGTAGGTCTAAACAATTTGCCCTGGTTTTGAAGGAAACTCTTATTTTCCTTATCAACCATATTTAGTATCAATATTCTTTTTATAAAGATTGCCAATACTTTTATGACTTTATTTCTATACACAACAAATCACAATCATTCATGTAATTATGAAATTAAAGTATAATTAAAATCAATCAATTTTAATAATTTTATAAATATAATTAATTGAAAGTGTAAAAAGATCTTATATTAACTATATTTATAAATTAAATCATTCTTATTTATATTCTTATTTAAAAAGATCTTAGTATAATTAAAAACCCTTTTACACTAATTAAATCCATTTTTAAATTTACCAAATATAAATTTCTTAAATTAAATAATAATAATATAATTTAGAATTATATATATTTATCTTAAATAAATATTTTATATAAATAATTTACAAATCAACTCAAACAACAGGATCCAAAAATTATTCCTATATATTTTTATAAATTAAATAGACGTGTAAAAAAATTAGTGAATTTTAATAAAAAAGATTCATCTAAAATATATTTTTGTTAAATAAATAAAAGAAATAAATTTGATTTATTTTAGTAAAGGACCAAATGGGTATTTTAAAAATTTAAACCCTTGATTGCCTCTTCTCCTTTGCAGCCGTTTCTACGTCGATTGCCCTTATAACCCCTAACACTTCCGCCTTCTCTCTCTCTCTCTCTCTCTCTCTCTCTCTCTCTCTCTCATATATATAAGCATTACTCACTAGTATTTATAATAACGCATTCTCTTGTTTTTTTTTTGGTTACCTCTCTCATATTTTTTCGGCGAAGTTTTCTTCTTCCGCCGCACACCCTCTGTAATCTCAACACTTCTCAACGTCCTCTCTGTTTTCCGTTTCTAATCGATTGATTCAACGGTATTGCTTCTGTTTCTCTTTCATGTTCTTTGCACTCTTTTTTTCTTTCTTTCTGGTACTTAGAAATTATTATACCAAAAAGTATGGAATCGTTTATATCAGTAGTTTTTAAATTACATTTGAAGTCTATTTGGTGTGTAATGTTTGATTTCTATGAGAAGGGGTTAAGAGGGAAGATTCGTAAAGAAAACTTAGAATTAGGGTTTAGGGTTTAAGGTTCTTGACAGTGTTATGAAATACTGGCGCCATATAAATGGCGGTTTTTGAGCTCGCCGCAATGATAACTATCGGCCGATATTGTGGGGTTTTCTGCCATAATCCTCTATAGCCGCTTTCGTAAAGCGGCCGATGTGGCAGGATAGATATGCCAACGTAGGTTTGGTGAGTGGTAAATGAGAAGGGTTTTTGGTGTTTTTAATCTAGATTGAAAAGTTGAGTGCTAACTTTGATTTTACGGGTTTAAGTCTAACTTTTGAATAAGCTATTTGGTGACTCATAAGGCTTGTTTTCTTTTAAGTGAGGTTTTTGCCATGGCAGATATTTTCCGCCAGTCATGTATGAAGAGGATGCAAACATTTTTCGAATTCATACTTAAATATGTTCTGCTTTTATATAAAGTGCTAAAATCAACGTGGTAGTTCATAAGTTTTGACAGTATTAGAGCCTTGGGTGATTTTCACATCATGTTTTAATTTTTTATGACGAGGCTCTACGTTGTTTGTATGAGTTTATCCTTAGAAGCGGAAGCTTTTTAAAATCTTATGAATCTCACTCTTGTTTGGTCAATTTGTTAATAATGTTTTGTATAAAATGTAATTCTTAGCTTGTCTTGTTAATATGTGATTTCATTTCCTTTTTTGCCCTTTAAATGTTCCGTTTTTTGTTTGTTTTATAGGAAGCTTTAATGGAGTTTCAAAATTGTATTATTTCTCCTATTATTAACAATGAGAAACCTGATTCAGAAATTATTACTCCTATTATTAACAATGAGAAACCTGATTCAGAAATTATTACTCCTATTATTAACAATGAGAAACCTGATTCAGGAACACAACCCAATAAGCGGCAGAAAAAGAAGTCTATTGTGTGGGATTACTTCACGGTCGAACCTGTTGTAGCTGGATGTGCCAGAGCTTACTGTAAACTGTGCAACAAATCGTTTTCTTATATAACGAATTTAAAAGTAGCTGGCACAAGTAATTTGAAGAAGCACATTTCTTTGGGAATTTGTCAAGTAATGCAGCAGAAAAGTCAGCAAGCAAACTCACATCTTGTAAATGAAGTAATGCAGCAGAAAAGTCAACAACCAAACTCACATCCTGTAAATGGTGTAAATGGTGGTTTGCAGGTTAATGGCATTCTACCAAACTCACATCCCGTTAATGGTGTAAATGGTGGTTTGCAGGTTAATGGCATTCTACCAAACTCACATCCCGTTAATGGTGTAAATGGTGGTTTGCAGGTTAATGGCATTCTACCAAAGAAAAGGCAAAGAACTACACCTACCTATGCTGGTAAAGGTGTCTCATTTGACCAGGAGCGTTGCAACAATGACATTGCTAAAATGGTAATCTTACATGATTATCCTCTTGATATTGTGGAACAACCCGGTTTCATTGCTTTTGCACAGACTCTTCAACCCCAGTTCAATCCATTGCGTTTGAATTCTTTTGAAGGGTATTGTCTTTCTATGTACCTCAAAGAGAAGCAAACTTTATTAGATCTTATTAACGGGATTCCTGGACGACTCAACCTGACATTGGACATGTGGTCATCAAACCAGACAACAGGGTATGTTATTATTAGAGGACACTTCGTTGATAGTGATTCCAACTTACATCATCCTATTCTCAATGTTGTTACAGTGCCGTTTCTTGATTCTGATGAACTCATAAACCAATCTATAATGACCTGTTTATCTGATTGGCATTTGGAGGGTCGGGTACTTACCCTTGCACTCGATAAGTTTTTCTCAAGTGAGACCGTCAAGGTAAATTTGCGAAGCCATCTATCTATTAATAACCCTGTGGTTCTCAGTGGTCAGTTATTAAACCGGAATTGTTATGCCCGTGTTCTCAGTCGCTTTGCAGTTGATGCACTACAGGCAATGAGTGAAACTATTAGCAAAGTTCGGGAGTATGTTAAATTTGTGAAACATTCTGAATCTCACGAAGAGAAGTTTATTGAGCTTAAGCAACAACTACAGGTACCTAGTTTGGTGAACCTATTGATTGATGACAATTATAAATGGGATACAACATACCATATGCTTGTAGCTGCCTGGGAATTAAAGGAAGTCTTTGCTTGCTTGGATACTTCTTGTCCTGATTTCACAATGACTCTAACTATGGATGACTGGAAGCAGATTAAAACTCTTTGCACGTATTTGAAACATTTGTACGATGCAGCTCGCATTTTAACTACTCGACCATATCCAACTGCAAACTTATTTTTTGCCGAAGTGTCGAAACTTCATATGGAGTTGACTATTGCAGCCTTCAGCCAGGATCTTTTTCTCAGTAATTTGATTTTGCCCTTGCTCCAGAACTTTGATCAATATTGGAGAGATAGCTGTCTCATCTTGGCAGTTGCTGTAGCCATGGATCCACGGCATAAAATGAAACTTGTGGAAACCACATTTTCTAATATATTTGGAGAGAATGCTGAGCCGTGGATAAGGATAGTCGAGGATGGCCTTCATGAACTATTCATTGAATATAACACTGAAATGCTTCATTTTGCCGCAACAAATGGTGGTGGAGAAGGGGATGAGGTTATGCTAACAGTAGAGCCATATGAAGGGCCGGTTGATGGTTCTCTTTTTGTTGATGAAGGTGAATTTTCCGACTTTGAGTTTTGTGTATCTGATATGGCTTGTTTGCAGCCATATAAGTCAGAATTGGACGAGTATTTGGAAGAGCCTCAACTGTCTGAAGCAACAGAATTTGATATTCTGAATTGGTGGAGGTTAAATCAATCGAAATATCCAACATTGTCTAGAATGGCATCTGATATCTTGTCTATGTCAATATCTACTGTGTCTCCTGATTCTGTTTTTGACACAGGAGTCAGAAAAATGGATAATCACCGAAGTTCGCTAGAATCCCATACACTCGAAGCCCTTATTTGTGCCAAGGATTGGTTGCAACATAAATCTTTACCCAAAAATGTTTCAAATACACTTGAGACAACAAAACTTCAGAGATAGGTGATAGATTCTCAAGTAGCTCTTAGGTATTCATTCAAGTTTTGAAATTCTTATTGAGCTCATTTAATTTTGTGTGATAATTGTCAATATATGTTTTATAGAATAGAAAGTTATTAATTCTATTCGAACTTGTTCTTTTTGAAAACTTAACTCATGTGAGTTACAATTAGCAACTGCTTTAACATACTTTCATAGTTTGAAATGAAAAGATGGACATTTTTTGTTTCTTACATTCAATATAAAGCAAATTATTCTTTTTGTCTCATCTTCCATTGTAGTTTTTATTCTTTTCGGCTAAATTTGGCCTAATTATTCCCTACTTAGTTGTAGATGGGTGTGTGCATACCCATAGTTGTAGAGAATATTTGTCTCTTTGGAATTTAATAACCTATAGGTATAATCAAAGATGAAAAGATGGACAAACCCTTAAAAAAAAAACAATAAACACACCTACTAGGGTTGTTACACCATTTCGAACAAGACAAATTAGTTCCAACTCTAAAAAATACACGAAATCAATTTCACAGAACTTTTTAATTAACTTTACTCCATTGAAATTTGATAAAATAAGATCTTTAAAAAGACTCAAATTTCACGAGAACTTTTTAATTAACTCCACTCCATTGAAATTTGATAAAATAAGATCTTTAAAAAGACTCGAATTTCACAAGAACTTTTTAATTAACTTCACTCCATTGAAATTTGATAAAATAAGATCTTTAAAAAGACTTGACCAGGACAAACTAGTCCCAACTCTAAAAAACACACAAAACAATTCTCACGAGAGCTTTTTAATTAACTCCACTCCATTGAAATTCAATAAAATAAGATTCTTAAAAAGAATGTCCTTCCTACAACTCCAAATAATCCAACAAGTAATCAAACCAAAAAATCAACCTGCATCCAAAAACCAAACCGACTTATAAGATTTATTCAACAAGAGAAGGTGTTTCAAAATAGAGCTAGTCGAAGAAACATCGTCGATTCGAAGTCAAAGACAAATTTTATTCCACCACATCTTGGAAATTGAACAACCAAGGAAGAGATATCCAAATTCTCATTAACCCCAAAACACAAATGACAAACTAAATAGTGACGCCATGTCCTTGATGAAATCATGGTGATACTTGTTGAGTATCTAAAATGTAACTATTTTACACTTTATTCAGATATCTTTTGTAATGTGAAGCAACTTTACCTTATCTTTAATGATTTAATTCTTTTTTTTTGACGCATTATTTACATTCTATTTGATATTGTTTTTACTTCTTAAAAAAATCTATAAAGGGCGGATGTCAGGTAAGATCTGACTAGTTTTGGGGAATTTTAATGTGGTTTGTTCCATTTTTGAGAGGATTGGTGTTGATGGTTTGTGTCATTTTATGGATTATTTAATAGTATGGGGTTCTCTAATTTCATTTCTTAAATGAATCTTATCAACTTTTCCCTCTTAGGTAAAAAGTTTACTTGGTTTTAAACGAATGTAGGTGTTGCCAGTAGACTTGATATAATGCATAGTGTGAGAGGTAATGTTAGATGTCTTAGTGGGTCCTTCTTAGAGATGTGTCTGATTGTTGTCATGTCATTCTTTGCTATGCGAAGCAGTTGTGGGGGCCTAAGTCTTTTAGATTTAACAATCATTGGTTGACGCATAAACAGTTCAGTGAGGTAGTGCTTTCTTGTTGGTCATTGGCTGACGCATAATCAGTTCAATGAGGTGGTGCAGTCGTGGGGGCGTAAGTAGGCATGGCAAGAAAATCTAGGCTCACCGGGGTCCGCTCAAACCCGACACAAAATTAACAGGGGAAACTCGATTTGATTTGGCGCAGGTGCAAGGAAAATCCAGTTTGTAATTGCGGGTGCGGGTGTGGGAATGAGGGGATGGTACTACCCACCCCGCTCGATATTATGATATTTACTTTAATACTCATATTTAAATTATTTTATTACACATTTTTTCAATTTTGGGAAAGTAATTAAAAATCCTCATTAGTCATTTCTTACCATTCACTCAAACCTTCATCTTTAGAAACAAGTTTATTATTAAAATGATCAAGCTTTTAATAAAATTATTAATTTTTATTACTATTTAAAAGAAATCATTTTTTTGCGGGTGAGGACGGGTGCGGGCAAACCCGTTTCCATCGGGGGCGGGTCTGGGTGGTAAGTTTTCACATCCGACTGGGTTTAGAGGTGGAGGCGCGTCTGTAACAGGGAGGCGGGTACGGGTGCGGGGCTAGCTAAACCTGCCCCCGCCCCGTTTTCATGCATAGACGTAAGTCTTTCTCTTGTTTGAAGAATAATTTCTTGAGTGTAATCCATGAAAGATTGTATCTCCTTTTTGTTACACTATGTGTAATTTGTTGTTGAGGGAAACCAGAGAAAGAGCGTTGATCAATCTTGTAATATTTCAATTTTGATCAACCCATGATATTCATCATGAATCAAAACCCACTTTTATCTAGAAACTTGAGAGAACCTTGTGTGTGTTCTTCTTTTACCAACCTTTATATCCATGTCGACACCTTGTGACTAGCATCCTAGAATGTGGATCCTATGAGAATTAGAGTGTGTGTGTGTGTGTGTGTGTGTGAAAATCTTTTGACATTGTTCATCATCTTCAACCTTAGTCCTTTTCCAGTGTTGTGGACCCTTATCTCTAGAGATCGAGTGATTGAGGGAGACTAGTGGTACATTATGGTGAGTAATTGTGGGGTAGCTAAGATCTTCTTTAAGGACTCAAACGCGATATTCTATTCAAATTGTGTCTTTTTCCTCAGCATATGTAGAAAGGTAGCGCTTGTTGAGTGGATCTGGAGATAAAACCCCGATAGCCTTTGTATATCCTTGTTTGTAGTCAATTCCTTCATCTGGACATATGTTTCAACATTTGTTACTTTCTGTTAAATAGAAACCCAGAAATTTGCAGGCCCTTACCACAAAAATGTATTTCTTGGTATTAAGCCTCATATTGTACTCCCAGACTCTTTTAAATACTCATTGGAGATGCTCAGCGTGAAGTGTGTCCACACTGGACTTCATTATCATATCGTCCATGTACACATTCAAAGTCTCCCCTATCTCTTCTCGGAAGATTATGTTCACCATTCTCTGGTAGGGTGCTCTGACGTTCTTCAGCCTAAATGGCATGACATTGTATTGATAATTAGCTTGCTTGGTCATGAATGTGATTTTTATTCGGTCGGGTCCGAACATTGGTAATTGGTTATATGCAGAGTATGTGTCCATGAAAGATATCAACTGATAGCTGACTGAATTATTAATGAGTTGGTCGATGTTTGGGAGCGGATATGAATCCTTCAAACATGCTCGATTTAGGTTGGTATAATCGACGCATATCTTCCATTTGCCCGATTCCTTTTTGACAAGGACCGCGTTAGATAACCATTAGATATACCTTGTTTCCGAAATAAACTTGGCATATAAGAGGCCTCTCACCGTGTTTTTGGTAGCCTAAGCCTTTTTAAGGGGTTGCTTACCGGGAACTGACATCTAGATTCAACCGACGGCAAGCCACATGAGGATCGATACTGAACATTTCACGCGGAAAGACCGCGAAGTGGTCGATATTTGGTTGGAGGAACTTGATTAACATGATCTCACCTCAGGGGAGAATCTGGACCAAATATACTGACCTAGCCAAATTTTCTCCTAATTGCTCAGACTCAAACTCGTTGTCTGGGGTAAGTTTGACTTCGTCTTTGCCCGAATCCAGGTCGAATACAACTTCACCTTTTGAATCCGATACCTGGATTTTCTCAAGGATTATTCTTTTGATCCTTCTTGCCTCCCATAAATCTGCACCAATTGCAACAGGTGCTCCTTCTTTGTCATGATATGTTTGCTTAATACTTAGCAGTTCTAATATGTCATCATAAAGGACATTTCAAGAGCTTATGTCGTCAACTAGAAGTCCTGTCAAGACTTTATTGGAGATAACAACACCGATGACTAATGGTAGTTCAGAGTTTGTGCTTCAGCCGATCTTTTCAATATCTAGGAACCCTAACTCCGATCTATCAACTTGTTGAACTCTTGAGTCAATGTCTATTAAGAAACCATCAGAGAATGATGACTCCACAGACAAAGCGACGTTTCGGAATGCTTCGATCAGTGATGATGCGTGAAAGACCAATTTTGAAGCGGAATTAGGTTTTTCAATCATCTTCATTAGTTTGTGGTAGAGATGGTTCTGAGGGTTAAAAATGAGTTGTTCTGACAAAAAAAATACAGGAATCCAAAGTCGTTTTCCACATACGACACCACTGTTCCGTTTTGGAAGCAGAAATAGAATGAGATGTGGAAGTTGCGACGAAGTAGAGCTTCCGGTGCGGTGGGGCGGGGGTGTACCCACAAGGTTAAAACTCTGTGACGCCCAAGTCAGTATGTGAAAAAGTAAAAGTAAAGTGTATTCAAATTGTGTTTGAAACTTGTTACCTGATTATTCCATGTATATAAGAGAGAGAAATAACAATTTTGTTATTTTCTTTGCATGGAATTCGAATGATTGTTGGATGTATTTGAGGTGTAAATCTCCTGCAGGGAGATATATGATAGTCTAATGGTCAGAGGAAGTTTCTAGAATATTCAATTGGCTTATGCTTTATTTTAGGTTTTCATCAATGTGGTTCTATCAAACGAGATATGACCAGTCCAAAACAGATATTAAGTCGGCGGTCATGAGATGAGCCGCAAAAAACAATTAAATATCTGCGAAAAGTAAATCTTTGAAAGTTAACCGATCAATATGGACGATTAAACCAAAACTATTGCCTTTTATATATATATATATATATATATATATATATATATATATATATATATATATATATATATATATATATATATATATATATATATATATATATATATATATATATATATATATATATATATATATATATATATATATATATATATATATATGAGTTTAAAAGAAAAGGTTTAACAAAAATGATAATTTTAAATAATAAATAAAA